TGAATCTGGCTCAGGTGCATGATGATAGCCTACCAAAAATCTCGGCAAGATAAAATTAGTGTTCTCGGCTGTTGGAGAGAAATCACTGTGCCTGACAGTAAGGGGCAGACTTACAAGAGAAGCCAAGGACTGAATGTGGGAGAAGAATGAATAACTATGGTGATTAACACTCTAGACCTGGACCTCTCTGATTGCTTTATAAAAGAGGTGATGAGTCAGATCTGTATTGCAAATAGGAAAACTGAGGCACAGAAACACAGTGAGTTGCCAGAGGTCTCCCTGCAATTCATTACTAGAAAGACCCAGCAAAAGGAAATGGTGGTTCCCCCAGACTAGGGGCTGGGAGGATGAGCTAAATTTGCCCTGCTGCTGCCTTTGCTATCCTTACCATATGTGCGTGTGGGAACAGAAGATTTAGCTGTCCAGGGCTATCAGTGCCACAAGTGCTAGGTGTTCCTCTTTCACTCACCTAAGGTTTTCCATAGATTTTTTTCTCATCAGTTACTGTGTGTAATGAAATGTGCTTTGGGGAAAGATTGCAACTGCATGTCGTATCTTTGGGAGCCATTGCATTAAATCAATGAATGGTTTCTGTGTGATTCATTGACTGTCAGGGCAAGTTGCTGAGAACAAACAGCTCTGGGAGGTTCCACCCACTGGGAACCAGGGGGGTTGCATCAGCTGGCTCAGGCTGAGTTTTCCAGACATTAGGGAACAAAGAAAGTGTGTCTTGGTGTACGAGAATGGGTCATAGGCTTCTTTCTGATCAGTAAAGGGCAAGGACTTGCTGTCCAATGGAAAGACTGGCTGAGAGAGCCATGTAAGATGGATGGAGGACCTTGGGTATGTATCATGTGTCTTTAAATGTATTTTTTTGTATTTTCTTTGCAGTGCTTTTACCTTAAGAATAAATGTACTTGCTCAGAAGGAGTTGGGTGGTAAGGGAGGGCAATAAACTGTTCCTCACCCTTGGAGGGAAAGCAACGCCCAGGCTGTTGGCCCAAGCAAGCCAGACTACCTGTCTCAGTTTTGGAACTGTACGTCCTAAAACCCCAACTCAGAAAGGAGTGGGCAGACAAGTGATGGCTGGAGGCCTGAGTAGGCACCCCTGGATTGGGTGGAGAGATGCAGGTGCAGTTCACCAGCACTGGTGTAGTTCTAGTGTAAGTAGACTAGGAAAGGGTGCTTGATGCACATGTGTGTATTGGCAGGAAAACACTTGTCAGTGGATTGATGAAAGGAGAGAAAGTGGGGTGAGGGTTTGGTGGAGCACCGGCAGGCAGAGGAACATGTGGTAAAGTGCTCCAGCTGGAATGAAAACTGCCTCTGCAGTGAAATACAGGTGCCGTGGATTTCTGACATCTCATGAATAACGTCCCTCCTGTTTCCTTTGTAGGCGTGAGTGCTGGACTGTCCTTACTCTCCCTTGCCTGGTCTTTGGTCTCCTATAGCCGCTTTACAGGCCTGATGAAACCCGGTCATCTCTACATGCCAGCGGCTGCCCTCCTGTGCCAGTTGCTGTGGAGGACAGGAATGCTGGGAACGAGGGTCATGGCCCTGGTGCTGTTTGCCAGAGTCTACCCTGTCTGGGTGTTTGTGGCAGCAGGTAAGATGACACTTCCTGTGCACACTTGTGCAGTCTGCTGTGTCGCCTGTTGTGAAAGGACACTAGGTGGCGCGCGTCTGTTTCTCTCACAGAGGAGAGAGATCCTTGCACTGCAAAGAAAGACCCATGAGGCTGAGTCTCAGAACCTGGGTCGGTAAATTCGGGGTACGGGGCTAAAAATAGGATAGACGGTCCCATTTGGGATGGCGATTGGACTCTGCAAGCTTCCCTCCTCGCTGGGTTTCAGAGCCCAGGCTCCAGCCCAAGCTGTAGTGCCTGCACAGATCTTAGCCCCGCAAGCACAAGTCTGTGACTTAGGCTCTGGGTCTCAGTGCTGAAGGCTTTTCGCTGCAGCGTAGACGTACCCTTGCTGTCGGTGAATCCAGGGCTCGTCTGTTCTTCTCAGTAAATGCAGAGCTCGTGAACAGTGTTGGCTTGCGGGTTGCAATTCCTCTCCCATCCAGGATTGGTCCAGCACAGGGAAAGGTTTCCTTGTGGACGTGATGTAAGGAAGAGAGTCTGTTCTTTTGCACATCGATCCCAGCGACGGTCTGACTTCTCCATCCACACCCAGGGTTTTTTGGCCCTGAGGCGTGAGAGTTGCTAGCTTCCCCCTCAGCTCATCATGGCCGCTAACTTGCTGTTTGTTCTCTGCCTTCCCCGCCTAGGTGCGCACTGGCTAGTGATGTCCTTCTGGCTGGTGTCTCAGCAAACCGACATCATTGCAAGCTCCTGCCACTGGAGGCTGTTCAACTGCCTAGTGGGAGCTGTGTACGTCTTCTGCTACATTAACTTCCAGGCTGGCCCCTCCAAGTACAGAGTGGCTGTGTTTTATGTGGTAAGTGACTGGTCTCTTCTTGGCTTGTATAGTCACAGTCGCTCACAATTTAAAAAAATTAGGAACTAATCTAATTGCAAGACGAGTGCAGTATGGGCCATGGCTGATTCTGTAAGTCCTACAATGTACCACATAGTCTGGCCATAATACACAGTAATAGGGGCTTAGAGCAGTGACCTTCATCTAATGCTCCAGGTGAGCCATTTCCCTATCTCCTACATCTCACAGCAGTGCTCCTGGGGTGGCACTTACTTCCTGACCCTTATGCTCAGTCTCTGCCCGGAGGCATGAGAGTGGGCTGTGCTTATTTTAGCCTGCATAGCTGCATTTATACATTGGCAACATCATTTCTACTTGAAAAATCCTGCTACAGTAAGCGGCATGAATCCACTTTTCTAGCGTCAAAGAGGTTATAAATATTTAAGTTAACTTAGTGCTCATGAAAGGTGCAGTTTGGCAGCCCTGGGAGGCTACTTCTGGGCTGAACCTGTTGGATGAGATGCTCGGGCACACAATGGTGCTATTCAAACTTGTAATCTGTTTTCACAAGCAAAGAGCCATGTTTCATTTCTATTCAAACCCTACATGAGGGGAGGCGGCCAGACTGACAGCAGGAGCTCGAAGCATGATAGCAAGTGAGAATAAAGTCAGTAGGTAAAGCTTAGAACTTATTCACATGTGTCATTTAACTCCCTCCCCAATAGGAGCCGTGTCTAAACCAGTTTGTGTTCATGCAGCTCTGGTGACAGCCATCTTTCCTTTGCCCTGCAGATAATGCTAATAGAGAACATCTTCCTTTTGGTGTTGGCCACAGACCTCCTGCAGGGGGTGCTGTGGGACAGCCTGTTTCTGGCAGGGGCTGTGATGTCTGGATTCCTGATTGGTAAGATCTATTGCTTTCTCATGCTGTGAATCAGAAGGTGCTTGTGTTAATTGCCACTGGGTGGATTCAAACCTGGGACCTCAGGAGCTTAGTATAGGAGCCTCAACAGCTTGACTATAAAGCCAGCTGGCTCTCAGCTTAGGCTGTAGAGCTCACCTGTTCTTATTTCTCACTGTACGTGGTCTAAGTGCCACTACTTGGGACAGTAAACCACACTAAGTGTGCAGGTTACACTTGGATACTGTGCTGATGAGAGCACTGCAAGAACCTGCCTAGATCATAGTGTTGCCAACTTTCACAAACTATGGTGAGGAAATTGTGTGTGTGTGTGTGTGTGTGTGTGTGTGTGTGTGTGTGTTTTTTTTTTTCCTCCTTTTCT